CGGTTGTTTGCATATGAGTTAGTGTATTGCGCAAACGAGCGCTCTGAGATCGTGGTCAATGAATGATAAAAGAATATGTTATTTTTTGTACGTTATTACAAAGTTAAGTCGTACACTGTGTGCATTACTAATAAATATCTTACGTTACGGACGTTTTTTCCCGGTTAGGGTACCACTTCGCATCGTCCGAAGGAACTTCGTTCCAAAAAGTACTTCAGTCCACCATTCTTTTTTTAAATGATTGAAGGATTACTGTTAGTCCGGAGGCCTTTCCAGTTTCACCAGGAAAGGTGGGCGAGCATAGGCTCAGCCAGGAGGGGTGGGATTTGCTAACAACTACCCGAGCGCCTCCGAAGGAGTCCTAACAGCTCAAGAGCAGCTGTATCTCGAATGACTCTACTACCGGATCGGAATCGCGACCCGCTGAGAAGATCCGGCGAGAAACTCAGCGAACTGATACATGGGTTAGGTTGCACGGAGAACTCTTTGTCGAGTTCGACGAGTACGGTTACCGGGGTCCGTAAGCCTGCTCCTAGTGTTAGAGCTAAAGGCGTCTAATGCTAAGGTTTATTGGATCTGATGGATCCGCAAGGACGTGTGACCACCATACTTTACGACTTTTTTTTTTTTCTCCTTCCTAAGCTGGTAGCCTAGAGAGGCTATTCCAGCGGAACCTTAACTAGTAGGTGAGCTTACGGGGCTCAAACCTGACGACGATACTAACACGAACCCTAGCAAGAGTCGTGCTTCGCAGAATCTACCACCGGATCGGAAACGCGACCCACTGAGAAGATCCGGCGAGAAACTCAGTGGGCTGTGTCTGAGAGACTTTACAACAATTACGCATGTTCCAAAGCTAACTTATCGCTAGTCTGGCCGCGTAGATTAGATCTTTATAGAACTTAACCGATTCACTGAAAATCTAAAGACTACGCTGTTTATAAGAAAAAACAATAACAAGTTAAATAATACATCAAATTTAATCTTATCGTGTGTGTGTTTTTTGTGTGTTCTAAATGTCGGGTATAGAACGTTTGTGGCAGACAATTAGATTGAAATGTCAGACAGGATAATACTCATATTATTTATATCTGCTGTTTGTCTAATAGAAAATAATATTGTCGGCTGATTCAGTTTTTTTTTTGCTTAGATCGGTGGACGAGCTCACGGCCCACCCGGTGTTCAGTGGTTAACGGAGCCCATAGACATCTACGACGTAAATGCTGCCACCCACCTCGAGACATGAGTTCTAAGGTCTCAGTATAGTTACAACGGCTGTCCCACCCTTCAAACCGAAACGCATTACTGCTTCACGGTAGAAATAGGTAGGGTGGTGGTACCTACCCGTGCGGACTCACAAGACGTCCTACCACCAGTAAAAAGTGATATTACGGCTGCTAAGCTAAATGGTCACGTTTTTTTTGTTTATCTATCAACCCACCGATAGTTTGACTGCTCCGAAACAGCTTATGTATGAAGCGGTTTTGTTTCCCTCCACCGATGTTTGTCGCCTGATGCACCCCTCGTGCAAACCAACCCTTCACGAGTCCGCGGCGTTATTAACACTGCCCAAGAATATCGAGGGAAAATTATCGTTGTCGAAATTTTCACGCGCAAATCGTATCTTGGCCAATGGCAGCGATAATGTCTATCAAAATTTATAAGTATTTTCTCCTATTTGTCTTTATTAATACTAGCGGTCCCGAAGTAGTCGTTATTCGACTATAATTAATCGGAATTGTAAGTTTGTACACTATTATGTTTGTATTTTATACTTCTATAATCACAAATTTCGCCAAGACTACACTATACAAATATTAACAAAGACAAACAATATTTAATCTATTCTCAATTTGACAACAGACGTCAAGAACAAAAGTTTGACAATAAATAGTAAGCATGCGTGTGTGCGTCAAATACATGGTATGTAGTGTGTGTAATGTTTTCTTTATTGATTTAACGTATCTTTTATGCATTATTTAAAAAAAAAAATTAGCATTGTGCACTTCTTCTCTATATTCTCTATAAGTGTGGAAAATTTCATACTCCTCCGTCCGCGCAATTTTCGTAAAAAGGGATACAAAGTTTTTGCTTCACTTATTAATATTATTAGAGGCGACTCCCTCTTAAGTCAAAGTCTATGGGCGGAGCCATTGACGACGAGCACTCACGTGGACTCGTGACGTCATCTGGAGGGGCAACTCGTCATCTGGAGGGGCAACCGACCGACCAGCGGGGACATCACGCCACCTCGGATCACTTTTGCTGGAAGCGCGCGCAGCGTTCACTTGTCTTAGATTTAATATTNTACTGGTGGTAGGACCTCTTGTGAGTCCGCACGGGTAGGTACCACCACCCTGCCTATTTCTGCCGTGAAGCAGTAATGCGTTTCGGTTTGAAGCGTGGGGCAGCCGTTGTAACTATAATTGAGACCTTAGAACTTATATCTCAAGGTGTGTGGCGCATTTACATTGTAGATGTCTATGGGTTCCAGTAACCACTTGACACCAGGTGGGCTGTGAGCTCGTCCACTCATCCAAGCAATAAAAAAAAAAAAAAAAAATTCAAAGAGAGCTTCTCACAATCATGTCAACCTGGTACTTTTAAAGATATCTCGACGCGATATTGCGCTTAGGCGAGCAGACGGCTCACGTGGTCGTAAGTAAGCGAACTTTTAGTCAGAGACGCGTGCGCGATGAGCTCCGATCTCATAGTAAATACCGCTTTGAGACATAAGGTCGCAGCTTTCAGTATGACTTGCAACAGAAATAGCACCGTGTTACTCACAGCTAGATTGCGATTTTAAAAGTTGACACTGTCAGTTTTCGATACACAACTTAGCACTAAATCTATGATGATAATTGAAGATAGCTCTGAATTGTCTATGACGTCAGAATACCTATAGATATAGTGAGAAAAGATTTTCCTTCGTAATTCGCACCGACGAATCCGACAATGATATCATCGTCTTCTCGCATAAAAACTGTACTAGTGATCCCGCAGTAGTCGAAATTCGACTATAACTAATTGGAATTGTAAGTTTGTACACTATTATGATTGTATTTTATACTTCTATAATCACAAATTTCGCCAAGACTACACTATAAAAAATATTAATAAGGACAAACAATATTTAATCTATTCTCAATTTGACAAAAGACGTCAAGAATAAAAGTTTGACAATAAATAGTATGCATGCGTGTGTGCGTCAAATACATGGCATGTAGTGTGTGTGTAATGTTTTTTATTGACTTAAAGTTAAAGTATCTTTTATGCATTATTTTAAAAAATATTAGCATTCTGCACTCCTTCTCTATATTCACTATAAGTGTGGGAAATTTCATACTCCTCCGTCCGCGCAATTTTCGTAAAAAGGGATACAAAGTTTTTGCTTCACGTATTAATATATAGATATAGATAATCACAAAACTTACTAATTTTACAGGAGAGTGTTTTAAAGGTTTAACATGTAATCTTTTTAATATTAATCACCTTTGCAACATTTATTTTTGATTTTTTGTCATTGCCCAAGACACGATTTTCGCGTGAAAATTTCGACCACGACAATTTTCTCTCGATATTCATGGACAGTGTTAATAACGCCGCGGACTCGTGAAGGGTTGGTTTGCACGAGGGGTGCATCAGGCGACAAACATCGGTGGAGGGAAACAAAATCGCTTCATACATAAGCTGTTTCGGAGCAGTCAAACTATCGGTGGGTGGATAGATAAACAAAAAAATCGTGACCATTTAGCGTAGCAGTCATAATATCATTTTACTGGCGGTAGAACCTCATGTGAGTCCGCACGGGTAGGTACCACCACTCTGCCTATTTCTGCCGTGAAGCAATAATGCGTTTCGGTTTGAAGGGTTGGGCAGCTGTTGTAATTAGGTATACTTGAGATCTTAGAACTTAGATCTCAAGGTGGGTGGCGCATTTACGTTGTCTATGGGCTCCACTAATCACTTGGCACCAGGTGGGCTGTAAGCTCGTCCACCCGTCTAAGCAATAAAAAAATAAATTATTCACAGTAATCAATATAAAAAAAATTAACACTCTTAGTTCGGTATGTATCTATATCTTAAATACGGAAAGCAAAAACTTTGTATCCCTTTTTACGAAAATTGCGCGGACGGAGGAGTATGAAATATTCCACACTTATAGAGAATATAGAGAAGGAGTGCAGAATGTTAATATTTTGTTAAATTATGCATAAAAAATACATTAAATCAATAAAAAAAACATTATACAAAATAACGCATACTATTTGTATACTGTCAAACTTTTCTTATTGCATTATAGTCTATGGTCAAATTGAGAATAGATTAAATAATGTTTGTCTATATTAATATTTGTCTAAAGTTTAGTCTTGGCGAAATCTGTGATTATTGAGGTATAATAAAATAAGTCTTTGACAATAGAATCATAATAGTGTTCAAACTTATAATTTCAATTAATTATTGTCAAATTTCGACTACTGCGGGACCACTAGTATAGATAAATAGATAATGGAAGAGCTAACAACAATGCGTTAATGAAGTCTCTAAATTATTTTCACACATACAGCTCGCGATAATCGGACGTATTCTGCTAATTCCGACCTCGCGGATTCCGCAATGTTTGTTACGGTCAAAAATCCTTATAGCTGCGGTAGGCAGCGGCTTGGCTCTGCCCCTGGCATTGCTGAAGTCCATGGGCGACGGTAACCACTCACCATCAGGTGGACCGTATGCTCGTCTGCCTACAAGGGCAATAAAAAAAAAGGCACCCGCATGAGTCTAACTAACACTGCACGACATTCTTGTAGAGCCTGTGGCGGGTAGCCATCATACAACGCAAGATATTTGACAAATGCCTGAATCTCGCTTACGACATTTTCAAGATAAGCTCGCATATATACAAGTTCCGAACAATAGCATTCGGACCGTCGGTCTACCGAGCAATATCACCCGCTCGATGGAAGATCTTCCCTTTGTCGTATAACTATATGCCCACTGACCTCCCAATTCCGGTATCCTGTGATAGAACATTCCGGTTCTTGCGAGCCACTCGAGTTGCATGTGGTGCAGGACTCTGTCCCCAGGGTGGTGGAAGGCGGACGGCATCGGCGCCCCGGGAGGTAGACCCCCGGGCTGGAGCTGTGGGTAGTTGAAAAGGGCTGCAGATTGTGCCGCCATCAGCGCCGGATTCTGTGGTATTAGTCCCGGCTTTGGGATTATTCCTGTAAGATTAGGTGCTGTTAAGTAAAGTCGATGGAGAAACTTACTTCTTTTTTTATTGCTTAGATGGATGGACGGGCTCACAGCCCACCTGGTGTTAAGTGGTTACTGGAGCACATATCCACAACGTAAATGCGCCACCCACCTCGAGATATAAGTTCTAAGGTCTCAGTATAGTTACAACGGCTGCCCCACCCTTCAAACCGAAGCGTATTACTGCTTCACGGCCGAAATAGGCAGGGTGGTGGTACCTACCCGTGCGGACTCCCAAGAGGTCCTACCACCAGTGATTACGCAAATTATAATTTTGCGGGTTTGGTTTTTATTACACGATTATTATTATTACTTTCCACCTAAGCCCAGTGACTACTGACACCTGACACTGGGATTGTTTTAGTAAATTGGAGTCATTGGATTGGTATACTAAACTGGACCAATCATTCGCGACTATGCCATTCCAAACGTTTCTCTTCGGAGGTTTTTAAACACGAGAAATATTGCATTGTTTTTGGTTTTTATGGAGTTAATTTTAAATTGAGAGGTTTTTTATTTGCTTAGATGTGTGGACGAGCTCACAGCCCACCTGGTGTTACGTGGTAACTTGAGCCCATAGACATCTACGACGTAAATGCGCCACCCACCTTGAGATATAAGTTCTAAGGTCTCAAGTATAGTTACAACGGCTGCCCCATCCTTCAAACCCAACGCATTACTGCTTCACGGCAGAAATAGGCAGGGTGGTGGTACATATCCACGCGGACTCACAAGAGGTGCTACCACCAGTAAGGTAAGAGGTTCCAAGATGATGTCTTAACCTCAAGACAAGTCGTCAATACGTTACAGTCAAACATATCAACGTCTTCCTGCTTATCTCCGCAACTGAATGCTCATGGGTTCGTATCTACATGCATCAGTGACAAACAAAGTAATCTATATTCAATCGTAGGAAAGATATCAGCAGAATTTTTGGTTTATATCCGCCCAGATTATTTCTCAAATATGTGAATGATACCAAAAACAAAAAAAACTTCACTTAACACATTGACCAGTTTAGCTTAGATCTCAATCAATACTTCCAGATTCTATAGATCCACTAGATTGTTTAACACGAGCTTTATAAATTTATGATTGACTAGCTGTACCCGTCCGCTTCGCTGGGCATTTAAAATTAACATTATTATTTCTCATCCCCACAAAGATTCTCATCATTAACGCCCCCGCAACTGGTGTAGGGAGTCCAACACTCATATAAATATTAGCCTATCCATTGAGTACATGTATTTTCTACATGGATACCAAGTTTCAAGTCAATCGGATGCACGGTTCAGTAGTTATAACGGAACATCCGTAAAAACCACTGTAGATTTATATATCTTATACCTTTAAACGAGCAATTCTTGTATATTAATATATATGTATATAATCTGAATCTCGGAAACGGCTCCAACGATTTTCATAAAATTTAGTGTACAGGGGATTTCGGGGGCGATAAATCGATCTAGCTACGATTCATTTTCAGAAAATGTTGTTTTATTCGTGTTTTCAATAATCAACTCTTCCCGACATCTATTGGCGAATAATAATACTATTTTTCTTAATTGAGGACAACTAACCTCTTTAAAGACACAACAAGATGGCGTTATCAAAAAAAAAACCGAACAACGCTCGGTCATCGTCTAGTTAGTATAGATTAAACTGACTTGGAAGTTATATTATCTCCCTCTAAATGGTTCATTTACATTAATAGCTGAATTGGTTATAAAGCGCTAACCTGGTCTATAGCTCTCATAGTCTTCACTGCTGCCTTCGACGCCGGGAGATATCGGAGGGCTGTACGTCTCCGATCGGTTTCCCTCATCAGACCCTGGACTGACGCTCCTGGGGCTGCTCTGTCCAGACCTTGGACTGGAATTATCGTACTTATTTATCGTGTTCTGTTCGATTTGGGCATCGTAATTTGCCTGGTAACGGTTGATGTAGTTTTTCGGGAACCCTGGATCGGCGCTCGGGGATTTAGGTTCCAATTGGCGGGAGAGTAAGGCGTCTATGCAGAACGATTTCTTGGTCTGATTGAGGACTGTCTTCTCTTCGTAGTAGCTCATGTTTTTCGGGGAGTTTGATCTGCTGGCCGGGTTGGAGTCCTGATCTATTTCCAAGGGCTTATCGTCCTCGCTCGACTGCCGTCGGTACATCGTCGTGAGGATCTGCGAAGACATCCTTACATTCCTGCGGAAGGAGGGGTTTTGGTTATCTACTGATGATTTAAGTACAGGTAAGCCTTCAATAACACGGTATTTTCCACTTCGATAAAGCGGCACGACAGGAGAACCCTCTCATCGTGGCCGCCGGTAACTACATTCCCGATCCTGCGGACAGAATGGAAAGCAGTCGACGTCGCCCAAAACACGTCATCTCGGATCCTCCCGATCCACTAACGGTGCTTTTAGGTACCTCAAGCACCGGTCACCGTTCTCGTCGAACCCGTCGCTTGCGACGAAGGGCTCGACGAGTAAACAAACTCTCAGACACAGCCCACTGAGTTTCTCGCCGGATCTTCTCAGTGGGTCGCGTTACCGATCCGGTGGTAGATTCTGCGAAGTACGGTTCTTACTAGGGTTCGTGTTAGCATCGTCGCCAGGTTTGAGCCCCGTGAGCTCACCTACTAGCCACGGTTACGCTGGAATAGCCGCTCCAGGCTACCAGCTTAGGAAAGAAAAAAAAAATACGGTATTTTACAACACGTTTCCACTATAACACGAAAAGAAAATTTCCTAAAACCCTCTTAAATATAACACGGTATCTACAACACTATAACGAAATTTTTGTTTAAAATCATTTAGAAAATTACATTACGCGCCATGAACACACAATATACGTATACGGGAATAACCGGAATTAGCAAATTTTTTATGATTTCTTTTTTTTTTGGATGGATGGACGTGCTCACAGCCCACCTGATGTTGAGTGGTTACTGGAGCCCATAGACATCTACAACGTAAATGCGCCACCCACCTTGACATATAAGTTCTAAGGTCTCAAGTATAGTTACAACGGCTGCCCCGCCCTTCAAACCGTAACGCATTACTGCTTCACGGCAGAAGTAGGCAGAGTGTTGATGCCTATCCCTGCGGACTCACAAGAGGTCCTACCACCAGTAATTACGCAAATTATAATTTTGCGGGTTTGATTTTTATTACACGATGTTATTCCTTCACCGTGGAAGTCAATCGTGAACATTTGTTAAGTACTTATTTCATTAGAAAAATTCATCGATATATATCGATGGAAAAATTGGTACCCGCGTGCGGGATTCGAAAACCGGTGCATCGCTACATACGAATGCACCGGACGCCTTATCCTTTAGGCCACGACTTAACTAAATTAAGCTAAACGCGTTTTGACCGCAAAAGCTAAGAATTCTGACAGCATCTATATATTAATACGTGAAGCAAAAACTTTGTATCGCTTTTTACGAAAATTGCGCGGACGGAGGAGTATGAAATTTTCTACACTTATACAGAATATAGAGAAGAAGTGCACAATGTTAATATTTTTTTTAAATAATGCATAAAAGATACATTAAATCAATAAAGAAAACATTACACACACTACATACCATGTATTTGACGCACACACGCATGCATACTATTTTTTATTGTCAAACTTTTGTTCTTGACGTCTGTGGTCAAATTGAGATTAAATATTGTTTGTCTTAATATTTTTTTATAGTGTAGTCTTGGCGAAATTTGTGATTATAAAATACAATCTTAATAGTGTACAAACTTACAATTCCAATTAATTATAGTCGAATTTCGACTACTGCGGGACCTCTAGTATACACTAAATACCTTATATCGTTCGTATATCATAGACTTCCTTGTGGCCATAATAAAATCGCTTAGTATTATTTAATGAGTTTCTAAAAATATATTATAATTAATCCATTTTAATGATAATTACACATTTCGAAACAGTTATCAGACCGCATCATGTCACAATTTGAAAACTCTATTAATTATTGAATTAGTATCACTGGTGGTAGGACCTCTTGGGAGTCCGCACGGGTAGGTACCACCACCCCGCCTATTTCTGCCGTGAAGCAGTAATGCGTTTCGGTTCGAAGGGTGGGGTAGCCGTCGTAACTATATTGAGACATTAGAACTTATATCTTAAGGTGGGTGGCGCATTTACGTTGTAGATGTCTATGGGCTCCAGTAACCACTTAACATCAGGTGGGCTGTGAGCTCGTCCATCCATCTAAGCATAAAAAAAAAAAAAAAAATAGTAAAAAAGGTGAGACTTTTTGTTTCTTTCCTACCTAAGCTGTTAGTATTTAGAGGTTGTTTTTTTTAATTTATCGATGCACAAAACAAATTACAATTTTGGGGCTTACGACAAAGGGAAGATCTTCCACCGAGCGCGTGATATTGCTCGGTAGACCGACGGTCCGTATGTTTTTTATTTTTTATGATTGATAGATTACTGGTGGCCCGGAGGCCTTTCCAGTTTCACCAGGACGTGTGGGCGAGAAAAGGCTCAGCCAGGAGGGGTGGGATTTGCTAACAACTGTCCGAGCGCCTCCGAAGGAGACCTAACAACTCAAGAGCAATTGATTCGCGAATGAATCTACTACCGGATCGGAATCGCGACCCGCTGAGAAGATCCCGCGAGAAACTCAGCGGGCTGATGCATGGGTTAGGTTGCACGTCGACCTCTTTGTCGATTTCGACGAGTACGGTTACCGGGGTTCCTAAGCCTACTCCTAGTGTTAGAGCTGAAGGCGTCTAATGCAAAGGTTATTGGATCTGATGGATCCGTAAGGACGTGTCTAGGGCGTCGACGGTGACTGGCTCCTGCATGATCAGGATTCGGGGAGTGGTCCGATGTTGTTGTTCGGAACTTGTATATATGCGAGCTTATCTTGAAAATGTCGTAAGCGAGAATCAGGCATCTGTCAATTATCTTGCGTTGTATGATGGCTACCCGCCACACAATCATTACAGTAAATTACAAATTAGCTAAATCGTATAAGTAGTACCTAGATCTAATCTGGATTGCAATCTAAGTGGTATGTGCACTCAGCAAACCCGTATTAATGTACATAGCTGTGGCTATTGACAACAAAATTACAAATTACAAATAAGAATTAAAAATTACAAATAAAAATAAAATTACGAGATCCAGAATAAAAAAAAAAAACAAAAAAAAACGGTATCCATATAAGTAGACAACAATAATACAACCAATACATACAATATATTGATAACTAGCCATTGTTCAATAGGATATCCTTCACACATCTATTTTAGAAGGGCTATGCCAGCGTAACCACTCGGTTAGTGTTAGTTACTTATTAGTTAGTGCTTTTAGGTACCTCAAGCAACGGTCACGGTCCTCACCGAGCCCGGTTTACCGAGTAAATTAACCCACAGACACAGCCCTCTGAGTTTCTCGCCGGATCTTCTCAGTGGGTCGAGATTCCGATCCGGTGGTAGATTCTGCGAAGCACTGCTCTTGATAGGGCTAGTGTTAGCAAATTATCTCAGGTTGAGCCCGTGAGCTCCCCAAAACGTTTGGTGGAGCTAGATAACTTAAGGCAACTAGCATAGTAGGTAAAAAAAACGGCTATCCAGTGCTACAAGAGCCTATGGGATCACTACCTGAATGCCGCTGTCCACTATGAGACATTCGGTCCAAACCTCTATATAACACAACGGCTCCCACTGCAATTAGGAACGCATCATTGCTTCGTGATAAAAATAGGCAAGACGTTACCAAGCCAAACGGGTTCACAATATGCTCTAACACCAGATTCTGTAACACTATTGATTCTTTTTAAGCTATTGAACAGTAGCTCATCATCATCATCAAGCTACTTCAGTCCACTGTTGGACAAAGGCCTCTTCTGCACGGCACTAAGCACGATCCTCAGCTTCTCTCATCCAGATTTTGCCATCTACCCTGCATAGATCGTCACTCCATGGAGCCTAAGAGCGCCCTACACTGTCTTTGTGAATCCGCGGTCTCCACTCAATACCACAGTTATTAGTAACTAGTAAAATTCGGTTACATCCGTCTCTTTTTTTTTCCAACCTAAGCTGATAGCCTTAAGAGGCTATTTCAGCGCAACTTTAACTAGAAGGTGAGCTTACGGGGTTCAAACCTGACGATGTTGCTAACACGAACCCTAGCAAGAGCCGTGCTTCGCAGAATCTACCGCGGGATTGGAAACACGACCCACTGAGAAGATCCGGCAAGAAACTCAGTGGGCTGTGTCTGAGGGTTAATTTACTCGTCGAGCCCTTCGTCGCTAGCGACGGGTTCGACGAGAACGATGACCGGTGCTTGAGGTACCTAAAAGCACCGTTAGTGGATCGGGAGGATCCGAAATGACGTGTTTTGGGCGACGTCGACTGCTTTCCATTCTATTATCCGATGCGACTAGGGTCAATCGTATGAAAAACATTGATTTCTTACTAATATGCCATATGTCGTACATGATCGCATTCCATTACAGCCTATGTGCTATACTAAAATATAACCTAATATATTTTGGAGTATTCTTTATTTATTGCATATATGAATTGACGAGCCCACAGCCCACCTGGTGTTAACTGGTTACCGGAGCCCATAGACATCTACAACGTAAATGCCGCCACCTACTTCGAGACATGTGTTCTAAGGTCTCAGTATAATTACAACGGCTGCCCCGCCCTTCAAACCGAAACGCATTATTGCTTCACGGCAGAAATAGGCGGGGCGGTGGTACTTACCCGTGCGGGCTTACAAGACGTCCTACCACCGGTAAAAAACGGAATCCGACTAATAGTTTTTGCGTGAATTCACTATAAACATCGACCCAATCTAAGCATATCTGAGCATCGATACGTAGCGCAATTTGATTTTAATATCCTCACGCACGCGACTAATATTATTAAAAAAAGAAGATAAAGAGTTTAGCGCTTTTAATGAACCGATAATGTATTTTTTATTGACACTGCCTTATCGATATATTAATATTATATTCGGTTCGAGGTGATTAATTGAGAAATCAATTTATTGCTATTTAGTATTAAGCTCCTTATTTAGTTTGAGTTTAGGAATAGTTTTCCGATTGACGGAAAAAGTTAATTTAATCTTAGTTACTGACTGCACGACACGTTTTGAGGACCAAAGCGATGGACACAATTACCGGTTGTGGAGTCGTGCAGCCAAT